CGAAGACGTGGCGCTGGTGGGGTCCTTATTGATGCTCAGTCTTATACTTTCATAGCACGTACAAGCTTGTCCGGTAATTTCTGACGAATCAATACAGCGAACTACACAGATTTGCGTGTTACGCCAAAATTCATACTACGGCGCGCCACGCCACACTGTTTAAACACGTAACTTGCATTTGGCTGGCTGGTGGCTTCGTACATGCCATATAATTCAATGAGAATAACAGTAACTGCCTGGCGAAAGGTGGCTAAAAAACCGTCGGTGTGGTAATGGACAATCTAACTGCGGAGCGGATTTAGGCAGATCAGATAAGCGTAGTGACGTGGCCATCGTTTTAAGCGCAAATTTCGCACTAGCTGTACCTTTACGTAGGAAATTACCGGACAAGCTTGTACAGAGTAAGTGCAGACGCTGCAACATGAACAGTGATTAGAAGGCACACATCAGATTGCTGATTGGTGTCACTGATATGTCCTAATTAGTACATATTGAGGGCCTTTTGAGACCTACTGGACTACCCACATTCGCCAGCAAAGTTTAGCGACGCGAAATCAAAATTTTCGTCAAACAGAGTGCGGAGGCTGTATTTATCCACCAACGTTAGCTAACAGTAAAATTGGTGGTTAGATTTGTAATCCCGGGAAGTAACACGGTACGCGCACAAATCCAAGGCTGACGTGCGGATGCATAAATCCGGACGGTCTTATCATACGGCTAAATTGTGGACGTTGCTTCCGCTGTACTGCACGCCGTCAATGACCATAAATGCCGCTCCACAGTCCTATTTCAAAATTTTATCTGTGCCAAAGATAACGGTACCCATATATCCTGCATAAACTTATTCAGTTTCTACAAAACTGAAAGTGCAGTCATGCACCGTACGTCGCAGACATGAAGCGTACGTTACAGTCATCAAACGACAAGAAAGCTGCTTTTTGACTCACCGTCATATTAAACACTTGCATTGCATTCTGGAAATCGAAAATATGGCGGATCATCTACATGGATTGTCCGCGGGTAAGGAAGAGCATTTAAACAATTATTTTGTCGAGTTTACCTTCACACAACCTCCCACGGTGTTGATAACATTCCACAAGCAAGCTGACGTGGAAGTCGTGTCGCCCCAAATAGAATCATATGCCTTTGCAGGTAGGTCATTGCGTTTTTTGCGGGACCAGACCCGATCTTCGAGCATGGATATATGCATGTCGCGCCCGATCTTCGAGCGCGACTTTATATTCTGGATTAGTAATGCATGATAAAGTAAAACAAGTGGAATCTGTGGAAACACAAATGGATTTGTCGCACGCAAGACGGTATATTACCGCGGTCAGATGAGGTACATCCGTCCAGACGCTGTTACCAACAGACGGACGAGTATAGTCTATCTGACGCTTCTGTCTTTAACCGAAAAAACTGTCTGCCGGTTGAACAAAACGTTTGCCATTTGTAGTTCCTGCCAAAAATGATGTTCCCTCTTTTCGAACCTTGCAAAATGGTCGTCTGGCCTTAGCTTTTCACTGTGACGGTTTTGCCGGTATGCAGAGATGTCGCAATCAAAGAATATATGTGTCCGTACATTTTTACCAGTTACAGATCTTCGCTAATAACTACAAAACGTTTACTTGCGATAGCCATCAAAATAGCAAAACTCATCACCGACTAACAACAACTCATCACAGCAACTAGTGAGTTCTACATGTACAATGAACAGAATATTGAGATAATAACTTATTAACTTCGATCTGCGATACCAGCGCCACCGCATGCTATAAAACTGTTTAATTATGCAAATCAATAACGATTACTTCCAATTATCTGCGCACCGGAAATGCCCAGTGAGGCACAGTATTTCCCGGAAGGATCATTATTTCCGGATTAAATTAACTTGTCGAAAAAGAGCTGCTCTCCATATGCACTATAAGTAATGAGTAACTTTATGCACTGCTATGGAATGCTTCGTGTAGCAGCAATAAATTTCCGCTATAATTTTACACTGGTTTTCCGCAACAAGGACAGAATGCTGTGTCCCTCTTTTTTGAGTTCATTCAGTTCCCTTGTGTCGATTACTGTAATTTTATTATTCGCGCACCTGGATAACTGGAAGTGTGACATTGCGCCATACTGAAATTCGATGCGGTGACTTATCACCGCGAAGTACTCTGCCGCATGTGCATTGTGCACGTGACACGCAGATGTTTCATTTTCGGGCTTCCGCCCATTGCAACTTTTTTTGATGCAAGATAGCGTGCAGAGTTTGAATTAGGTCCGGGCACATACCAACAGTTCGACAACACCACACCGGACCCGTATTTAAATCTTGTTATTACACAATTAATATGATGTTTGTAAACGTTCGGACTGCGGTTCTCTTAAAGTGTTGCGTACTGTTGCAGTGTGGCGGGCTTGCTAAGCCTTGCTTAGTATCTTTATTTTAAATAGCCACCAAAAAAAGCAAAAGCAATCGAAAGCAGTGCTTTCGATTTTACTAACAGTATGTCACAAAAAAGCATTTTTCTCCCTGTCCGTAAGAAAATGGTAAGCAGGAAACTGTGATATCGCCCTCGAATTCAATTTCCGAACTCGCTCAGTTAACGCCATTATTCCCTACAAGGACACCACGGTATAGAATTTGGCAAATACGCAACGTAAAAATTCGCTAACTACATAACTATAAGCACAACACATCATGTCCAAAATCGGCGTCCAGTCGTAGAATCGGCTCAACCGTTGGTTGCTGTATCAAGGCCATGCACTCCTCTGCTCTTCTTCCATAAGTGAACGTCTTCTGCTCGAAGTACAATACCCGCCAAATAATAGATCTTTTGTTGCCCGCGGCAGTCAACCTGATACCGGTTCCAGCTGTATCGACCAGTGTACACTCCCCAGCCAAGAGCCGTACCCACCATCTGTCCCGGCTGCAGGATGTCCGCAGCGCGCACCACCTTGTCGGCGGTCACGGTGCAGTCATCGCGACCGTCTAACCACGTCAATGTCACCTGCCGATGGTTGACTGCGATAACTGAGCCTGGCTCCCACAAACTGGAAGATACCGATGGCTTCTGCGCGAACACTTCGTCGCCAACCCGAAACTCGGTGCGGTGGTCTGCAGGAAACGACAGTTGGGGTTTCACTTCGGCAGTTCGGTATAGGAATAGGCTCAGCAGCTCCGTTTCCGTCAGCAGACCGGTCTGCGACAACAGAATGCATTAATCAGCGAAAGATAGCCGTGCCCACGCTCCATCTACCGCATTTTACCAATTAGCGATCAGCGTTACTACGCTTTCGTAAGGATCTCGGATAAGACCTTTTTCTCAGTGAAAAAATTTATTCAAAGGTACTGCACAAACGAGCCCTTCAGTGAGTGCTTTATTTTGGACTGCGTTTATAAATTACAGAGTAATGCTTGGTGGGTCACTAATTAATGAAGTACGGTACCTTGGCAGGGCCATCCGCCAGTTGCGAATTCGTCAGCAGCGGAAATCGGACAAGAAACAGAACCTCGCCCAGCATCTGGCGCAGATTGGCGGCCGATGTATCCAGGTTGTTGCGAGCGCAGGCGGCTGATGCCCACCTGCAAGTAACACGGTTCGTGTAGAGATATCAACTACTTCTTCGCTTTTACTTCTGTTAATGTGTACCTGTTAACAGCCAAGTAAACGTCAAACTCTCCAGCCGTTAGCGTGTTGCGCTGCAGCAATCTCTCCAAACTGGCGTGAGAAGTCTCAGTGAATTTTTTCGTTCGCAGAATTGCCTCGGTTTTCGAATCGACATATGCCCAGCATTTTTCCACAAAAGCATCGGCTTGCCACTGGATTGCCTGAAAAATTATTAAGAGTGATAATAATGCCATTGTCACGTGTGAGGAGGAGTGGCCTCTCCGTTCACCCGCGCACAGGTGGCTGCTAGGTTGTTTTGCTGTTTTTGTCGTGTTTTTCTCCATCTACCAGATTCTAAATCTGGTAGATTCTTGACTGATTTACAACTGATTTGCACCTTTATTTGTCCAACGATTACTTGCCTAATGTCGTCCTGTTCAAGCACCGTGCCCATCAGTAAGCTATTCTGACCACTAATGGATGCTTGCCCATGACGTACATTAAAATTGTAGTTTTGTTTCGTAGTTTTTCTGTTCACTTAATTCGCTAATGGCCGGCGTCAGCATCTTGCTGGTCTGGTAATTTTAGTGAGTGGCATTCGGGAGACCGTAGTGCTATTTAAAGGTGCTACATAGCAATGACAGGAGGACCAGCTTCCCACTTTTTATCGATTTTTATTAAAAGTCGCTTGAATTTCATTTTATGTACCTGCCTCGTCAATTTATACCGTGCGCTTAACGCCGCAAAAGTGTCTTCACTTTCCTTTGCCTACTCTTATCACTTGTGGTTACTACTGATTTATGGTGATAAACTGCGATAACCGTCGTTGAATGGAGGTGTGAATTAATTAAAAGATTAAACTAAATACTTTTGTCGTTGTGGTACGGTTGCAGAAAAATGACTTCGCTGCAGCGGGCTGCCACAGTACACTGAATGCCAGCCTTCTTTGGGTAAAGGTCGAGAGGACAGAGGTAACCGTATTCTTGCATTTTTCTACCTCGTCTAAAAATGATCGACCACCAAGCTATTAACAAATTAACGGAATATGTGGTTGTTATTGCGTAGTTTGGAGTTATCCTTATCTGTTCTATTACTTAATATTTGTATGTCTTGCTGTTTCACAGTGTTTATGCAAGTAAATTATTCTATCTACGGGTATCATCTGCGCCTTCCGTGCAAGAGTGAACTATGCTGACAATGAGTGAAAACAGTATGCACTGAATGAGCTTTTGCATTTCAGAGGGTGTAATCGTTTTCTTGTGGGGTTACAACAAGCAGAAGCGCAGCAATATGCAAATGGACGCCGCCGACTTGTATTGTCTTGATCCACTGACGGGCATCTGATGGAGCGTGTCGTGCGCAGCTCCACCGTGTAGTTGGAGTGGCCCGCTGGTTTACATGGTGAAAGATGGCCAGCTGCGAATCTTTGTGTTGGCTGATGTGGACGGGCAAGACTCATGTCGTCTTCACGCCTACGATGTCGGCGCGGATCGGTGGGCGGAGATGGGTATGTTTCCTGTCCGTGACGCCTGGCTGACCACGATTGATGATCGTATTTACCTACTGGGTGGCGACAGGGAGGTGTACGCTTTCGACAAGGAAGTCCGCCATTTGACAGCTAAAGCCAAGATGCCATTAGCGCTGTTCGACAGCGCAATGGTGGCCTGCAGAGGCCTGCTGTTTGTGTTTGGAGGAGCGAATTGGGTTTCGAGCAGTAAAACTTATCGTATAAGCGCAGGAGCATATTGCTACGATCCAGCACGCAACGTCTGGAAGAACCTGGCGCCGATGCCGACAGCGCGCTCCAAGTGCAGAGCATGCGTTGGCCTAGATGGGCTCATCTACGTAGTAGGTGAGTTAATTAGAATCGGACAAACATGTAAATATTACGACAGATGTTAGTTGTGGCCTTAAATTGTATTTGATCAATAGGTGGGTGTGGCGGCAACCTTGATGAGGCTGGCAAGCGTGTCGACGCATACAACATCCAGACGAACCAGTGGCAGTCTAAAGGTGGGTGCGAGCATAGCTGTGTTCTTGTGCTTGTTCTTACCGAATCAAAAACACAATTTTAATCAGGAGTCAAGAGTACTGGGAGGGCGAAGATGGGTCTGGTGCGGCTGGAAGACAAGTTGTATGCCGTGGCAGGCTCTGTTGCAACTTGTGGCGGAGTTCTTGCGACTGAGCGTTACGATCCGGAAGCGAACCGTTGGGAGCCGTGTGAACCGGCATTTCCACTGCAGTGCGACATGCACTGTGCCGTTGTGCCACGGTCCATCGCTTGGAAAAACATGCAACGGTCCAATCCCGACGATCGTGGCTAATGCATGCTCATCGTTTTCCCGTTCGTCGTACAGATACACTAACGTTCTGCTTTTGTTTCGCCATTCCTTCCCAAAATACCGTTTTCTTTGGTTTGCTAAATTTGATGCTGCTCAGATCTTTTTTACGGTAGCCTTCCCATCTCCTAACGGGTCTACAGCTTCCACAGCTTCCACGAAGACCTATGCTAAATTTTAATATAGGTCACCTATTAATTACTGACAAACTTTCAAATTTTTAGGTCCAATAATTTTATACAAACTGTGAAATGTATAAATGCTTTAGAGCGGATATAATTGTAAGTACTAAGTATGTATTACGAGTATTATGGTTGTACTCGTATTATGGTTGTACTAAATATTTAGCACAAGTAGATCGCCGAATAAATTCAGCGATTTAAATGTACATCATAAGAAGAATATGTTCCAGTGTGAATTTCTGCATCGACGGCCCACAGAAATTCTGCTAACAAATCAACGGACAAACGGTTAACTGCCACCGGAGGCGTTGAACAGTGGTCATCGCGTAGTAAATTACAATATTTTTCGTAAATTACATTTCCAGAACAGAAACCGTGGAAGATACCCAGTAATCGGTAGAAGTATAGATATTAACGCAGCACTACTGCCTCATGTAGCAGATACAAACCATTTGCTGATTTGGTATGCGCTTTCCGAGACAGATATTTTTATACTGAATTAATTTGTTTATGCCGATTTCAATACCTATGGGCCAAGGAACGTAAAGAAGCATTGTTACCCTATTTTAATCATATTTGTGGCGTTCTGGGTCCAACCTTTACAAATATCACGAATTGTCGCTAATAGTTTTCCCTAGAAATTATGTTTTGGTGCGAATTCTTTAAACATTCCAATATCGATTTTTTGTCTAACGCCGTCATCTTTAATTTGCAATCAAGGCACGATGTGCGCAAATCTGCACAATGCAAAATCGGCGCTGAAAACCATGGTATCACGAAAGCAGTGATTACACAGTACCGACAGAGAACTAGCACGCGATTTATTGCGTCACTGCACATTTTCTGTTAATAAAGTCTAGAAATTACTTTAATTAATGGGATGACATGGTCATTTCCTCCGCTGTCGCTGAAAAATGATGTCAACATCATTGTCTGTTGGCCGGCTTTCGTGACTGGATTGTATCGGAATCGCCTCGTTGCAAAACCAGATTTTAATTATGGGGAAAGGTCAGATCGGCAGTGTATACCAGTTTCAGCGAAGAATAATAAATATATCCATTACTGTCGGCAATACAGCTTGTCCTGTCTATCTGATAGCTTATATAATCACCGGAAGGCACACTATTTAGCTTGACAGATATTGTATCGTTTTGACATACTGTTTTAATGTTTATTTCTTCGCTGCGGAGTAATTTACAATGCAGAGCAAAAAGGTGCTGTTGTATATCTTGCTGCATCTCGTCAGTATTTGGTCGATAACTTCAGGGAAGTCCGTATGGAAATGCCGTGTCCGAACAGCGCAATCTCCTTGTCTTGATGAAATCTGCCAATGGAGACTTTTGGATAAATTTCCACCAAAACTTTACGGTAACAAGATTGTCTACAGAATTCATTTTTTTATAGTCATATCATTTTATAGTCTTCGAAATTCTTATAATGGCTTTTTTTCTTGCATAGTTTGATGTATGTAGGTATAACATGTTTTAGCTAAAGGTCACACAACCCACTGACGTATATACTGTGAAAAATTTTAACGTTACATGATTTACATGATTCGATTTGTTTATGAACTTGCTATCAAGCGATTCGCTCAAAAGATTACATGTTGTTACAGTATTCTGAATTCTGTGAACATTTCTTTTTCAGATTGTCCTCCGCTGGTAACGCAGCCGCTATTACTTAACGCCCGGTCGAAGCCGGTATCCTCCATGCAAACGATGCCGCGTGGGCCGATGGAGATACGATCTGATGTTGCACTGGCATCAGTTAATGGCATCAACGCCGCACAGTCCAAGCGGCCCGATTCGAAGGCAATTCCGCCTGTTCCCAAAAGCAGGTAGACATGCTTGATGCAGCTGTTGTGCAATTTGTAAAATGTTGAATATGATATACATGTTGACAATAAATTGATTGCAGCCGACGGTGGGCCCATCCTGGAGGTCTCCTTTTTGGCCATCCGCACTTGAGATGGACGCCAAAGGCCACTTGAGGTTCAGCGCTGAATTATTGGCCGTCCATCTGATCATGCGGGCTTTTGATCAAATTTTCGGGTGTATCGCGTTGACCGTTTTCTTTAAACTTTACTACTCTAGATTGAGTAGCTAGTTGTACCGTCACGAGATGATGTATATTTAGCTTTCACATTTTTCTCTCTTACTGTATCTACAAATCTACGAGTACTAATTTTTCAAAATGTACATTTTGCAAAAACTGGTTACTACCGTGGCTATTCAGTAACATAAATTCCACTGGTTCCTAATAAATTTACTCAAACCAGGAATTGCGAGCATCTCTGCTCGCTTCCAGATGCTTTTGAGAATCGAAACTGCTTTTGTAGAAAGGCGGCTGCATTTGGGGGAGAAGAAACAGCTTACGAGTCAAATGGCTGAGCGTTGTTATGTATATCAGCTAATTGAAAAAGAAGGTTACGCGGGCATATTACGCAATTGGTTCGCTACCAATAGACTAGAATATTACAGCATGTGCTCCAGAACGACCCAGTATAATCATGGTTGTTTATTGTCCGCATAACGTTGTTATCACATTACGGTAATCCCTGGACGAACCCGGCAATTACAGTCGTTCTTTGTCTGTTAAACATAATACGCTTGGTCAGGTAGAAGTACTCTAATTTCCTGTTTCACAAAATAGCGTGCATCACCATGTTGATCCCAACTTTCAGGGCGCGTGCGTCTCTCTAATGAAATGTAATAATGAGGTGGTATGCTACCGCAGAATTGCGATCCCGGTATCTTTTCTGACAGAACAATATAGGGGGAATTTAGCTGCTGTGGCCAGCACTCCCTGTACTTGCTGCCGTCACCCGCGCGGAGTGTGACGTTACGGCAATACATACGGTTAAATCAGGCGCGGTACATAAGCACCATGTTTAGCCACAACGTAAAACTCCAGCCGGGTGACGGCAGCAAGTACAGGGAGTGCTTGCCCCTGCAGTTAAATTCCCTTTATATGTTCTTTTTGCATACACAGTCGCCGCAACGTTGTTTGCGGACCTGTTAATGAAATCCTTGCTGCTGTGTGTTGCATAAATAAAGGCTGTAGGTAGCCTGATATTGCTTTAGTGATTTCAACGCGGTATCGTAGAAAAAGGTCAGTTAGTGGATTACTGCCGGCATCACTGCAATGCGCTCAGAGATTAGTGCGTAGCGCGATCACAAAAACGAAGCCCATAATTATGTAGTACTTAAGTACTACAACAAGAACCATGCAAGACTACGCCCCGTTAAACGTTTCGATTAGAAATGCCAAAACATTCATCAGCAATCACTTAGAGCGGCTTCCTGTTCGTTACGTATTGTCATGCTGTCTGCAGGATGTATGAAGCAACCGCCCTCGGTGTCTGCTGATGCAAAGTTCTGTATGTCCGATAGAAATGACCAGTTTACTGCATCCTTCTTCGCTACTTCAGTATTTGTTCCCTTTTGGTTGGCGACCTTTTCTTTTGTGAAATATCCGTATTCTCCCAACTCCAGATCTACTTTTAATTTCGAGGGAGTGCTAGACCTTCCACGTAACAGTATTGGCACGTATAATTCGAAACGATGCGCAGCAAGGGAACATTATTGTAAACGATCTCCATTCCATAAAAGTTTCATTGAGTTGGTGCTTGTCTGTTTTTCGTTTTTTTATTATCCTGCTCCAGATGGCTTTTGCTCTACCCCAGACTCAAAATTACTCAAAAGTGTACGAAAAACTTTTTCCGGGATACGGTTTTGTTGAACATAGTTTGCGAACAACTTTTAGCCGGGCAAATTGAGCATTTTAATTTGCCTACACCACTGAAGCAAAACTGCTGCAGTGTTCCATTATGACTCACCAGGAATACGCGAACATGCGCGATCGATCCGTTATGCGCGACATCGGACTTAGCAAATATGGAATTAAATGAAACAAGGCAAAGGCTTTGTGTACAAATGTTGCTACCACATTGACCCTGATCTACACTATTTACTGATGTAGAATATTAATTTGACCGCTAGATCACGGTTCAGAACAGAATGCGTACATATTGACCGTTAAGTTATTAAAGCCACCTTATTATTACTTTTTCCGAAATATTAAAATGCAAGGAAGCGGCATTAGCAATTATTGAAAATTAATTCAACGAACCGTTCACTGCCCCGCTACCGCGCTGTGACCGGCATTTTGCATATTCTCAGGAAACTCTCGGCTTGCCATAGTAATTGCTAACCGCAGTATTCTATTTTCAGTAGCTTCCTGAAACATTCATTATCGCCATAAATGGATTTCGTTCTGCAAACACTAAATAATGCAATCCGATTTTCTGCATCAACAATAAGGCGACAGTCATAATAATGTCGACGACTGGCCTCTGCAGAACGGAAGCTCGATCAAAGCTAATGAACTGTACATAAAGCAGCCATTCCAGTTTATAAGGTTCTATTTGCTTGCCAACATCCCAGTATATTGTATGCTCATAACTGAATACGCTATGGCGATTATGCAGCTGATGACCCTTTGCATAATAGCCGCATTGATGTGTGGCTCAGTTGTGTCAGTAAAATCGGAGTGGTCACAGCGCGGGGCTTTTTTGGGATCCCGTCCCAGGGCCAGTGAACTGATTCCGCTGTGGAGAATAATCGTGCCACCAGCCACTAAGGACTTCGTGACCTCGATCGGTGGATCTGCCGAGCCGATGGTACTGTATCGTGTTCCTGCAAAGTCCCCGCTGTCCGCGTTGTCAGAACGATCGTTAGCATATTTACTGGCGGTGCGGAGTATTCATGACCAATTGGTGCCTAACTGGATGGACAACGCTCCACGCTTCCGTGACCTTATAACCTACCGAAATCGCCCGCCGAGATTGGGATGAACAAGATTTTACAGGAGAAGCCAAGGCTTTCTAAAGTAGTCTCTAGTATTCGTTCCAGGCGGTGTATCGTAATCACATTATTTTTCTTATTTAGCGTATAATTCGTAATCAATAAATGATTGTTAAAACGTCTGTATACCCTGTTATTAAACGTCTGTATACCCTGTCTGTGTACCCTGTCTGTATACCCTGTTCTTTGGTGTGGGCAGTGATTGCGTCCTGCTCTGAGGAAAACAGCCCCAAGTTGTCATAAGAATGTTCTAGCGATTGCGCTTTTTTCGGCGCACGGTTTCTGTTCACAAAAAGCGTAATTGTGTTGAGCAACATTCTTGAGTAAACGGACGCGGCTCATCCCCGTATGGAACGTACAATGATTTTACGCTTTAAAAAGCTCAAAACTTTTTATGCTCAAAACTCTATATACCGTAAACACAAGAGAGACCTCATCGGCCATGGTGTGGATGTTAGGGTTGATTCTCAATGTACAGAGCACATGTGCTGTTTTTTCACGCCCTTTTCTTCGTATTTTAATCTCGGGTGGTTTTTTTTGCAACTGCGAGCGCACATACAGACTCTGTAAACGTAAAGACAGAGTAACACGGCAACGTATACGTTGTGCACACGGAAGTGAAGACCTTTCTCCTTCGGCTAGCGTATCCACGTATCAAGACGGACTTTACTGCATAATTGGCCGTTCGTGCGTACGACATCCCTGCCGGAAGTCCCCAGCTGTCACAGGGGATTCACTCGCCCGCTGCGTTCGTCTGGATACAAAACGTGTGCTCGCTGGATGGTACATCTGCTTTCAAGGGATACGGTGGCGATTCACGTGACCGTTTCGCGTTCATCCTTGGAAATCCACGAAGTGCAGTTGTTTAAGAGTGATGATATTGGGCTTTTTTTAGTAGCAGTCGTTTGGAGTTAGAATTTTTCGCAGCGGAAATTCACGGTTGTGCACGTGTTGGTCTGTCTGAGAACCGGAAGAGCCGAATCGAACTGTTTTGTGAAAACTGCAACTTCGGCAGAGGGTAAAAATTTCCATTAATCTTTGTGGTTTTATGTGGATTTCCTTGACGCTTCGCGAATTGCCGTTAACTAAGTGGTATGTCGCCCGGCGCCGTCAGTTTGCAATTCAGCAAAAGCGGAGACTGAAAAGTTACTAGCACATTACACACCAAAATCTATGACCCAAAAACTGGGAGCGAAACGAGTACCTAAAAAAGTTGTGTCACAACGCTTTTCAAATTTGCCACTGAATCATGATGGCAACGTCATACCGTTCGTTGCACGCCGTTCGTGACTGAAATGTGTTATGTTGCCGGTTGAAGTATGAGACTGTGAGATTCTAATTATAGATAAAGGTCAGATAAAAGATTTATGGCGGATTGTGCGAAGAATAATTTGTCTTCATTAATTCCGGGAAAACAACTTGCCCTTTAAAGATGCTTATAAAGCCAACCACATGGAACAAGCAGAATGCTGTATTGAACGAGGTTAGTTTTATTCTTCGACAAGCAACATTCTCGTCGGCGTACAATTTCGTGTCTTTATTCGGCATAGAAGTATTCACAATGCTGCGCAGGAGAAGGTTGTTGTTCGTTCTGTTGTATCTCATGGGTTTGTGGTCGATTAGTACGGGAAAATCTGTACGAAAATGTCGTGCGCGGGCTATGCGAACACCGTGTATTAGTGACATATGCCGTCGGATCGCCCTGGATAAATTTCCACCAAAATTTTACGGTACTTTAACTTAATTCCTATCAGCTCACAATGATTTATACTCTGCACTCTGGCACTGCATGTTTCGAAAATAATGTTTAATTACTTTATTGTTTATCCCGCGCGATTACAAGCCATTACAAGTAAAGGTCAACCACACAATGCAGTTTAGAGCGTTATTTTGTTTGCACCGGACGACCAGGCATAGGCACTTGATCACAAGTTCAGTGGCTATAACCATAAGCCGATCCGGTACTAATTTTGGTAACGCAATAAAACTTGCGTTCTGGAAAAGCGTTTTCCTGTGCATAAGCGTCGCATAACTGACTCTCATCGACACAAAATTATTAGATAGCGTTGCATCAAAAAGTAATTTTTGTTGCTATTAGTTCGGATTTTGCAAATTACTTTTCAGAGTGTCCACCACTTATGCTCCCGCATTTGTTCAATGCACGGCCAAAACCGGGATTGTCCTTCATGAAATGGAAGATATTGCGTGATCCGACGGAAATACGCTCCGCTTCTGCTCTCGCACTGTCTGAAGATATCCTGATGTACTAGCGACCATCTTTAAAGGCGCTTTCACATTTGCGAAAATCGCAAGAAAAGTGAATAAATTCCACTTTCAGACTGCCACTTTCATAATATAATAACGTACTGCAATTCTGTAAGTGTACCAACGCCGTTTATTCTTGCAGCCGGAGATGGACTCATCAGAAAGGTTTTCTCTTCGGTCATCCGTATTTGAGCTGGGGACCTACCGTTACCTTGATGGGCAGAATGCTCTCTGGCTGAATAACGAGCCACATCGCTGCGTCTATCCGGATTTGAGATGGACGCCAAAGGTCACTTGAGGATCAGCGCTGAATTATTGGCCGCCCATATGATCATGCTGGCCTTTGGTCACATGTGCGGGTATATCGCTATGACTGTTTCTCACTAAGTTACTTTCGGGATTCAGTAGCTTCTGGTGCCGTGGATAATTCTGTCGTGTTCACAGTTTTTACATTTTGCTGTCTTACTGCGCTACGAGTATCATTTTTCTAGTTGTAAATTTTGGGCTTACTGATCACTAACGTGATTTTAAGTAGAGAAAATTGCGCTGGTTCATAAAAAATTTCCTCGAATCAGGATTACGAGCATCGCTGCTCGCTTCCGGGCGTTCTTGAAAATCAGAATTGCTTGTGTTAAAATGTGTAGACAGGCGACCATGCTTCGCGGGGAAGAAACAGTTTTGGAAGAGTTAAGCGGGTACGCGCTGTTATATCCCGTCATTAAATAGAAGGCTACACTTTCACATCATGCAATTGAAAGGATATGAAAGCTATCATCACGTTCCAGTAATTCCTCGACGAACCCGGCACTCACAGCTATTCTTTGCCTGTTAAACGTAATGTGCTTGCGCAGGTAGAAATACAGTCTGTACTCATAATTTTCTGGTGTACATTATAGCGAGCGTCAGCCGGTTGATCCCAACTTCCACGGCGCGTGCGTCTGTCTGACGAAATGTAACAATTAGGCGGAATGCGATTCCGATTTCTTTTCAAAAAGAACAATGTGATCTTTTGATTCTTTTTGCAGACCCACTCGCCGCGACGTTGGTTGCAGACCAATTAATGAAATCCTTGCTGATTTGTGTCCATTAATAAAGGCCTCGGTTAGCCTGAAACTGCTAGTAATTTCAACGTTTTATCGCATAAAAGAAGTCAGTTAGTTCATTTCTGCTGGTGTCACTGCAATGCTCTCGAAGATTACTGCTCAGTGCGATCAGGAAGGTAGCATGTACTTAGTACTTAAACAAGAACCATTCAAGGGACCAAGGCTATGCCACGGAAACGTTTCCATTAGATATGCCAAATCCTTCATCAGCATCCACTTGGGGAGGCCTACGTATTGGCATGCCGTCTGCTGGATATATGAAGCAACCGGCCTCGGTGTCTGCTGATGCTTTTTCCTGCATTTCCGATAGAAATGGTCAGCATCTTTGGCATGTAATCCAGTATTTGCCCTTTCGGTCATTAAACTTTCTTTTGTGGCAGACCTGTGCTCTCTTATCAAATTGTCGATTAGGTGCAATATGAAATCAAATAAAATAAGGAAAAAGACGTTTTATACAAATTTTGTTATCACATTTCAGCTGATCTACACTACAGGTATTAACTGATGCAGATTCAGATTATTAATCTGACCGCTTGAATCACACAGTTCAGAATACAATGCGGACTACGTACGAGCACAAGTACGAGTTTGCAGCGAAACGGATGTTGTACGTCTTTACATACAATTTTGTTATGTTGTAAGTACTCGTACTTCAGATTCGAACCGTTGAAGTGTTAAATGCACCAGCAGTTGTTTGTGGGGCCGTTGGCGCTTTATCGTGTGGCGGAACTGCCTTTATATTGTTTATTACTGCACAGCGGCATAAAACGCTGCAAACCATATTACGGACAAACGGAATAAGCAGTGCACAGCTACTGAAACCTGGAATTAATGTTCCATGGGTGCCAACACTGGTCAGCGGTTCGTGGCATTTGATGCGACGTCTAACTACGTAAACCAGAATTCACTTCGCGCCCGCCAGTAGCGGAGCTGACCTTTGTTATTCTGGTTAATCCACAACGAGAGGTCAAGGGAAATCCCATGCCGATCGCCCTGGTGAAATCGAGACTGGCTGATTACCCTGGATGCTGTAGAGGAGGCAGTGGAACTGGAGCTGCGGAAGTTTTCGGCGCGGGGGAAAATTTCCATTAATAAAAAAACCAGTTCGCTGACACTTTCAAAGAAAGTCAAATTTAATTGCTTATCATAAACCAGTACCAAAATACATGCATGTATTTTTGACAAGCCGAAAGAAGTTCGTGACAGCTGCACAACTTCCACAACCAACGTATCATTTCGCAGTGCCACTTCTAACTGGTTGGTAACAAACTTGGTTACATTTTGTTAGCCAACTCGTAAAACAAAACTGTGCAAGTACACTACAGGGAAAAATCTCCGCAGTATTATTGGTTTCTACGGTGTAACAGAAGCGATTCTATCACTGCGGTCAGTCCAGTGGGAACAGCATTTTCTGGATATTGTCCTAATCTGTATGTTTCCACATTACGTACAAATATAAACGCTCATGCTGTGCAGTCGCATTGAATCAGCAGCCCATTCGTTGACGATTTCTTGTGGTTTCACGTACGCCATACGGTAAACTCTTTCCATAATTATCCTATATATATATTCTCTCTCATCATTATCTTCTCTCGCCGCACCCACTTGCGAACTGAAGAGCCATTATGCTAGCACAAAACTGCGTCCAACGTCGGTGTGCACTGTGCAGAGTGGGACCACTGTCAAAGATTCACCCAAGGTCAGCCGTCTCCAGTGAACGCTTTTTCCCTGGGGCACTGGAATCTTTCGCGTTGCCCTTCTCATTGGCTCTCTTCCATGTTTTCACTCGAGAGTGCTTCAAGAAAATCTCGTTGAACTTGTACCGTCGTTCTATGCGGGAGGAAGTGTTAGACACGGTGATGTGGTAATCCCGTTCTCTTCTGGCATATCTTGCCTCCGTGTAACGCTTAGGGTGATGGCGATGAAGAACGTGCTGGTTAGCAGCCAAAATGTCCGATGCGCGGATTATTTTCTCTTGTTCCACGTGGCACACCCGTTTTGTATTATTAGCGGGCACATACAAGACTTCGGATCCACGTGTTCCAACCACAACTGCAGGACACCAGCTCTCCTCTCGTTCCACGAATATCTCTTCCTTGTGCCGGAATTCCATATTCCCGATATGGATGACCGGGGCCTGCCGGGGCTCCGTGGGGAATCGATGTTTGTGGTGGCGTATTTCTTTTAACGCTGATGCTTCTAATAATCCATTCTAAGCACAAACATCGATTTGATTATTACTCGTATTTCAATATTCGGATAGATCAAGTATAGAATTACAAAACATCATAAGAAGCACCGTTTATTTCTACATCATAAAGTTGGTTTAATGACTTCTTTTGCAAAATAGCATCAAAGTGCTTCTAATTACAGTATGGTCATCAATATCAAGTTATGAACGACAGTACGAAGTACCCGATCACCTGTGAATGTAATTTGTATAGGATTTATTAATTGCATAATTCTGGATCGATCGTCGAACTGCTAATAAGCTGCTGTCAAAAGCGGTTAGCGTTTACCGACTTACGTTTTCGGGCACGTCGGCTACCTCGACGATGGTCATTACTGGGAATCTAATGAGGTAAAACAGATCTCCCAGGACTTCGCACCGGTTGGCGGACGTGGGCTCTAAATTGTTACGAGTGCAGGCAGCCACCGCCCATCTGCAAAATTAACTCATGAACCAGGTGTCATAATCCAATTCTAAGAAATAAATCTACCAGCTGTCATAGTTCTGCAAATAACACTGTATTTGCCGGATATAGGTGTCTGGTTCTGTTCATCCAGTATGCATTATTCCTGTGTAAACCGGTCGTATTGGGCTATTTACATACCTGTCCACCGCCAAGCAGATGCGGCTCTCGTCGGCAAACAACGTGTCGCGTTCCAGAATTTGTCGCAGTGTGTCGGGTCGCAATTCGGCGAATCGATCCGACTTGAGGATTTCCTTGCAGTGCACGTCCACGAAGTGCAAGCAGTTTTCCACGATCCATTCGATACCAACAGCCCAGGTCAGCGCCTACATAGAAACCAAGTGAAAACTGGCAACGGTGAGCCATGAGAAGACATACGTTCTCCAAATGCAGTAAACAGCGATCAGCATTATCGCGATCCACGATAAGATCTTTCATGACAAAATCGAAACAGTCGTCGACCAGCACTGCCACATCGTACATGTGTGCGAAGTGCATTGTTGGAAAGACATCTTTCGCTGTCACGTCCACATAATCGGCATAGAGATATCTGTCGTAACAAACATTTTGTCAGTGGAAAACCTCAAGAACCGAACCATCTCTCCTTCAGTCAACCAGCTTTCCACACTATAGTGTTTTTTTAAACTGATTTTGAATAATTCAGTTTTCTGGACGAAACTATGTAATCAAACTGAGAAAAAACGTCGAAGCGTACGAGTATGTACGTATGTATGTATGTCAGCACAGTATGTATGTCAGCACCTACCTTAAGACATTTTTGGCAACTCAATGGCACCATCGCACTTCTCAGGCAGACTTCCGAAAAACATGGTGTAAAAGACATCACTGCCGCTGCTCAGCACGAGCCTGATAAATGTGTGGTTTACAATTTACAGAGATCTGCAGAAATTTGTAATAGCTAAGAAAGAGTAGCAACGTGAACTCACTTGTGTGCCTTGAAAATCTTCGCTTGCCCGAAATTCCGCCCTACCGAGAACTGCACATCAGTTAACTCTCCACTCTCTAACAGCTTCTCCATCCGATTATCGACCCCTGCAATGGTGCCCCGTCGTGGGGGGCTGGTGGCTTTTGGTCGTGGAGTAGTTTTTGATATGGCGACAGGCCACAGTTTTGCGCGATGGCACACTCCGATTTTGAAAATTCGCCAGCTGACTAGTTTAGCACGGGATTGACAGCTATCTGTACTGCTAAGAAACTGCTACTCGGTAGGTAGTAATGTCTTAAATTGTCTTTCGTATCGAGATTTAACAAAGCTTCGCCATCGCAGCTCTTTGCACTACTCAAAAACAACAATCAACTGGAGCCTGGAGGTGGAACTCGAAAATTCAAAACTACAAGACGGTAGTTAAAGAGCTGTCCTCTCAGTGTGGGTAAGAAACTGCGACAGATATGCAATGGGTACCGTCAGTGACTCACCGAGTTCGTGTTCTTATGTGTTAGTCGGGAGCTGGTGATTCGCATAAACGCACGTGCGCGATCCGTATTTGCTGTCACCAACGTCCAGCTAGTCTCAACTTCTGCTGTACGTACCGGGTGGCTGAACAAAATGGCCGTCTGCTTTGTCATGGTGCGCTGGATCCGTCCAACACTAAATTGACGTTATCCCAGTTTCATTCGATGGAGCAATGTTTTTTACATAAAAAAGTTAAGTTAACCCAGGAAAACCGGGTACCAGAAGGGATGGGACTGCAGTTTTGAAAATCGGCAGTCTGGAATAGAAAAATTCAGTTAAGAGAAAAATATTTTTTTCAGAATTTTAGCAGACCATAGGTCAAGCAGGAGATGACCATGTCGGCCTAACACGCATGGTGTGGAACGGGTTAAGTCAAAATTTCCATAAGGCTGAAATTTTTTATGAATTGTTTTGTAAAACTGGCTGGGTTTGGATGATGTCCTGGAAGCGAAAATCTGAAATTACCCGTTTCTAAATTAAAATTCTTGCTATTCAGCTAGCGACGTTAATGTAGCTTATTTTACTATTTCTGGTAGAGAGGTTTTTTCTCGTTTTTTTACTGTAAGGAACTGCAGTATTCTAGCAACCGTGCTTGGCCAGTGCGCTGAAGAACAGAGACTTTGCACGAGTAATTCTCGAGAAACCGGCAAACAAAGTTTTTGAGAGCAAATTTCTAACCAACATTCTAAAATCTCACCCGATTAAATTTTGTTTCAAAAAGGGCAATGTGTCAGCTACATTTCAAAGTCGTATCTGCATTTTTTGGTGCAACCTGTCATACAGCCAAAAATTGTAACCGAAATTACTCGAAAATACCAAATAAAAAACCGGCATTTTTCCAAAAAGTCACAATGTGTCTTGACTGCATAACTCGTTCAGCGTATGCAGCATGACCACAACTTTTTTTTCTATTGAAAGAAAACGTATTGTGCTAAATGAAACAGTTAAGAATATTCAAAAAGTCCGTAAGGGAAAGAAATGGCACAAGATTTTATTTTTTGCGAGCTGGGACACGAAAAATTTGCAGACAGTTTCTGGTTTCATTTGACATCATTGCAAACCAAGACGGCTTAATTTTTTCAGAAACTTTGTTGTAGGTTTTGTGGCTAATAAAATTCTTTATCGAATGAGCCTAAACAGTTTACGATGCGACAAAGGATCTGCGAAAGAAAACCGAAAACAGGAGACGGCCATTTTGTTCAGCCACCCGGTAAGTCATGTCGTGAGTAGTGTTGTGCATTATGACTGATGATTTGATGCGCATACCAGCTGGATTCTAGAATCTAGAACTTCTGAGCTATTATACTGCATACTATATCATACTGTAATAAAGATGCGACATAAAGTATTATCGGCTTGGCAGTTCCACTGGCCGATTTTACGGCGAGACATCTGTAGGGACCGTGGACGCGATTATTTTCCATAGAAGGGTTAACTATTGGTCTTACAGACAGCACTGGATCGCGGAGAAATATATTGCTTTGTGACCAGTTAGAATTCAGCGACATTACAGGCCGCACACCAGCGCCAAAGCCATGCAAAAGGTCAACGGCTCATAACGGCCATTGCGTGGTGTTTAGCAACGACATACGGCGTGTTTAACAATTGAGTTAAAATCGTTACTGAAGTACCTGGAATGGTTTACATATCAGATTAGATTAATTCAGTGTTTCATGAACAAATCCATCTTGTGACGAAAGTAGAAAATCTTTCATATGAAACAAATAGAACATTGTGGCTGGTGGTTCTGAAAGCATGTCATGCGCTGCCCGCTTATTTTTGGGAATTCTCAATTTACCGCCCACTTACTGGGTTGTAGTGCGCGCTTTAGTTACTTAATTTTGAATAATTCTGCTAACGCCTCTTTTCGGAATTCGAAAGATTCTGCAAATCTGAATGTGGACGGCTGCCTAATAATTTAAGGGTATACGCAAGTGTTCTGTAATTTCGGTTTTGTATCGCAATCGCCCGGTCGGTTATTCTGCCTTAATAAACCATGTACTTATAATATGGTAATTAAGAACGAAATAACAAGACGTTCAGACAATGCCTTGGTCATTTTACTGCACATTCGTTCTCAAAGTCTGCAAATATTTCATGCACAATTATTCCTGAAGTGTGCAGATATGTCATCCGCTGGAAGAAACTGTCGACACCATCGTATGTTAGTCGCTGTGCGTGACTCACTTGCATCGACGTCATCGGCTGTAGCGTGGGGTTTTAATTTATGGAAAAAGGTCAGATAAAAAATTTATCAGGATCCAACGACGAACGATCTTTCTGCATTAATGTCGCGCAAACAGTTCGCCCTTTAAGCTTCTTATAAAACCAGTGACGGGCTACACATAAAATGTGGTCTGGATAGCTGCTGATTCTGCCGTTCGGTGGGCAAATGTTTCGTCGGCATACGCTTCATGATCCTAATCCGGGTAATTCGCAATGCAGCCTATGAGATTGTTGCTGTCCGCTCTTCTAATGCACCTCATGAGTCTATGGGTGCTTAGTACGGGAAAATCTGTGCGGAAATGTCGTGTCCAAACTGTCAGGACACCTTGCATTAATGACATGTGCCACTGGATCGCTCTGGATAAATTTCCATCGAAAGTTTACGGTAAGAAAAATCGTATCAACTCGATCGTACTCTGTAACCTGTGAATGCAATTTCTTCGGGAACTTTGCATGCTATATTTCGTTTGTGAATACTCCTTGTACATTTTTACAATACAACAACTGGTGATATTATTTTGTTTTAATTGGATAGTCTCAATAAGAAGCCAGCCAGCCAAAATATTTATGATAAATCTGGCGTTCATTGTTGTTCCTCTGAAAGCTGTTTTTAGCTTTCATTAAAAAAATCGGTTTTTGGGAAGGACACCCGTCTATACATGCTTTGCAGGAACATAGAATTTAATACTATCTTGTTACTTTAAACTTTCTCGGAATTGGGTCGTGGAGAAGATCGCGCAGTATTTCTGATTTGAGAATGACGTTTTTTAGAATGCCCACAGCTCACACGGGCAGATTTGTACCGTGCACGGTCGAAACCGGCACTGCATTCCATGAAATGGATGGCGATACGATCCGCTACTGACGGCGCATTGTCTGATACTAGCCTTATCAATGTGTCGAAACGACCACATAAGAAGGCGTTTCCGCCTTTACCAAAATTGCGCGAAAGGTGAATAATTTTCCTTCCGGTCAGACTGCGCCATTACAAATCGCATTCATGTAATCCTGTATAGGCACATTCACACCGCTTACGACAGCAGCCGGAGATGGGCTAATCGAAGAGGCTTCCTGCTCGGCCACCCGTATTTAAGATGGAGGTCAAAGGTCACTTGAAGCAATGCTTGGATCACTGCATGTCGCAACCCTAAATTCCTATGAAGCAAACATCGATTTCCAAGCGAGCAGAGATGATCTTCCGCAGCAGACTACTTTCCAGTTCACTAGCGTAAACTTCAGATGTGTTCGGGTTTTGAAACCGATAATGAACGATGTACAACAGAAAATTATCAGAACCCGAACAAACAGAACAGCTGTTTTCACAGCTTTCACTGTCCAAATCCAGCTTACACTGTTGGTTATCCATTTTTGCACATTTTTGCCCCAGCCACCTATGAGTTTAATCGACTTTGACGTATGCTGTAGAAGTAGTGGCTGATTCGTACAATGAAGCAGATACCACAGAATCAATAAACGCAGAACGCTAACGCAGAATCAATAAACGTACGCAGAATACTGCAATTAAACAAGAATAGTTAGACGTAGTTCTTCAATTATTCTACACCTTTTTCAAAACGTAAAGGATGTTTTTAAGCGCAATTTTGTACAAGACTGCTGTACTTGTGAAGTGGTGATACAGAACGTTACAATAGTGTTCAGCCGTCGCTGGCATGGCCGCTGGTTAACTGTGCGACAGAACGGTTTTTTTGTGTAAGATGGCACGACAGGGACGGCCGGATAAAACACTTGGAAAGCGTGTATGACAATTTTATGACCAATGAATAAACAATCCACGGCTACTGGTATGGGCGGTCGATTAGTAATAAATGTCGCTAATGCTGATTAGCTATTGAAGGCACTCGATGCAAGATTTTACGGTACGTAAACTTGAATACACCCCGCGCCCTTCAGAGGGGAGTTCTTCCGGGTTGCTCGACAACGAAGGACCAATTGAAAGTACCCTGCAGATCTCCCTTGTGACATCGAGACTAATGCGCCCATACGAGCGTGCTGTCTGGAAAACAGCAGAAACACTGTAAAATTGTTTGGCGTTGGTGAAAATTACCTTCCAGCTGCGATGCAGCCTCCTGGGCCATGCATGGATCCACAATCTTTCCGCCTTTTTAGCACAGCAACCAAATGTCGGTTTCCTGGTTCACGTTCATAAGTGGTAGCTTTCACGCATGCGCTGAGTTGTTATGAAAAGAAGAAGCGGATATTGCTTGTGACCAATGACGACCATAATAATGTCGCTTGTTGACCTTTGACTGCCAAGTCTTAGTTATTAAACTATGCATAAAGTGCTTGATGTTTTGCGAATTCACCGTTGCGAGTCGCGACAGTGTAATTTCCGTGAAAGCGATGCGTGCTATCGAGCAGAACTCGCTTCTCTGCATTCGATGACCTTTCCCTACGTTACGACATAATTTAGTGGAACTGTGCAACCGACTGTGTCTTGCGTGTAAATCAATCAGTCAATTTTGCTTTGGCTTACCACTAGCTGGGTGCAACCAGAAATGTAGAGCACCTACTGTTCTGTACGTAATAAGAAATCTGTACAGTAAATGCAACTATGCCAGCATATCGACTGTCTACCACAAAATGTTGATACCACTAGCCCGTCCAAAAGGAACAGCATAAGGGTAACCGGTAAACGGGAAAATTTAAAAGGTGACAAGGTACTGAACAAATTACGGTACGTTACGCTGCTGTGTCTACGGTAGCTTCGCCGTAAAGGAAGAAGAACGCGTCTTAATGGCAATTTTCAGCACCGTGTACGTGTTTTGACTGGGCCCACATAATTTACGTTACTGAAACCAGTGCACTGCGATGTTTGCTTTGTCGTTTGCTTTGTCTTGTTATATCTGTCGGCAGTCTAATCACTTTTCGGTATAAATCTGCTTTCTTTGCGGACAGGCCTGTATGCAGAACGTTAATATCATTCATGTTATCTATAACTAATCGCCGCGTGGTGGTGAGTCACACTACGTAGGAAACGCGACTGCTGTGTTGGCGAAAAAACGCTGTACAATGTGTGGAAACACGTTGGTCCAGCGTACTTGCAGCAATCCTTACCATTTCAAGGTTCAAACGGTACGCAGAAGGTTCAACTTTTTCCTGTTTTTTTTTCCTTTTTCCAGATGTAAACGTCTTTCGTTTATCACAAATGTGGCCAACTGCACCAGGCCCAGAATTTATTAAAACGTGTAAATCACTAACAAACCATGCACTGAAAAAACTTGAATCAATTTTCCCTAAGATACCGTATGATACTGTAGAGAAGTACCCAACATACGTATTAGGGGTGCCAGTTTGATGGGTATTATGTGGATAAACGCTTATTTGAGAGGCAGTGGTCTATTAGCGCCGTCGTTTTATGTTTGATGGCAGAAAGGAACAATCTTTTCAAGAAAAGCTTCGCGAACAGCCGGTGTTCGCCTGTCAGTCACGTGTCACCATCCATCTTCCCAGTATGCAGACGGACCAATCATCTTGAAAATTTTTATCAAATTTATTTTTCCATTTATGTTCAGCTTGGCTTTTTTTGGACGCACATTTAAATGCCACTGAGGCCAACCTTTAACCTTACTCTGCATTACCTGAATCAGACGATTTGTTTTGCGAGTACGATTTGTTTTGCGAGTACACTGCGGCTCTTCGTCCTGAACCGACTTGTTCCTTACTCGGAATCGGAGTTCTATTGGTATACATTTTTTTGCGAACAGACATCATCCCGGCAGTGCCCCATTGTGAAATTCTTATGAACCTATCTTAATAATTATCTTTTCCATGCCGGCATCGGTTGCCGGTCGTACGCTTCAGCCGATCGTGAACTGTTTTTGTAAAATCGGAAGCACGAGGCATTTGGCTAAAAGAAGCCGGTACGTTTCATCACCCTTTAATTACTTACCTACAACTCGCGCAGTTCAAAAATTGTCAATAAGGATTAAAACTATTTACTTCCTGATGGTAAAAATCTACCAAAAAGAAGTACTACGAAAATCGTACGCAAACGGAAGAATGAAACTCTGCTACGATCCACTCTCCAACCCGAAAGTCAAAGCGCAAGCAATTTCATTGTAATTATTTCTTCCATCTCTTTTCGTCAACCATACATCTGCGTGTTGCATTTATTCCACTCCTGTCGGAAGGTCAGCGGTCAGTTGAATTTGCAGTCTCAGCGAGAAATCATGGGGATTGATGTAACCTTTCGCCGGATCCAGTAGCGTCTGAAAACACAAGCTTGCATTCATTGTAAGTGATTAGCCAAGCATTTGCAAGTATAAACCACACAGAATACTCCACCTCCATCGAAATATAGTGTCTGTATCCCATATTATCTCCATTCTTGCAGAACAGATGGGTTCGCGCTACGGAAATGAAGCACAGTTATTTTGTAGGAACATCGCAACCTACGTTGCCATAGACTAATAAAACACAAATGTCGTTTAACGGGTGGAAGTTCACCATTCCACGGTAGCAGACGAAGTTCTAAAGTCGCTTGGCACGCCCAAGTATCGGATTTCGGATAGCCGGAAGGCCCGGAGCACACCAAGAAGAAGCCAAGCGCGGGAAACTCTCCTTGAGCGTTCTTATGCACATCGATGTTCCTGCAGAAATATAGCACATAACCTTTCTTTACTCAAAAGAGTTAATCTCAATCCAACTTATTATTTTGTTACTGAGCTACGCCGATTCCTACCAACCAACATCTACAGCCTTGGAAAACTAAGAACATAATATTTCAACATATAACATACGTAATTATCCATTGTTAATGGAACCCAAGGCCATCCGTTTCGCAACTGTAGTCAGCATACTGTAAATGCGTAACTGAGCACTTCAACAAAAGCCACCTATACAAATATTACTTTAGGGATTTATTTCCGTGGAACCGGCATCACATGGCAAACGCAAAAATGGCGCTTTGTGAAAGCGCCAGCGCTCGTAATATACCTCGTAACAAACGCCCGGGTTTCTCAATGGTCGTTGTTAAAATGGTGACCTTTGACAAAATCGACCGTGTAGGCACCGTCAATGGGAAGCAAAACAGCAAAAAAGAATGGGGTTTTAAATAACAACTGATTGGTACGTTTTACTGTTATTAACGTCGATTCGGGAAATCTCATTTTTCACAATGTCCACCGTTCACACAGTCACTGCTCGGTCAAAACCGGCATTGCACTCGATGAAATCGAACGATCCGCTACTAATGGTGCATTATTTGACGATATATCGTAATGTCCAAGCGGCTATATAAGAAGGCGCTTCCGCCCTTGCAAAAATCGCAAGAAAGGCAAATAACTTTTTTCCGATCAGAGTGCGGCGTTAAAAATTACATATCGGTCTGTACGTACGAGTATATTAGCGCTACTTATGCTATAGTAGAGCCAGCCGAAAATAGGCAAATCGAAGAGGTATTCTGTTCCGCCAAACGTATTTGAGTTGCAGACCAACGGTCACCAGAGATAGCACTGGGATAAATGTACGTCATAATATCCGATTTGCGATAATGATCAAGAGAGCAGGCGCACAAACCGCGCGCAGGGGCCATAAAAAGTAATTAAAAAGTAATTAAGACGCTGCTCTCTAAGACATGGCCTGCTCCCACAAGCACGGGCCCGACACACAAAAGTGACTATGCGGAGTCCGGTAGTGGTCATGCGCCTACGCGATGTAAAACAATGGAGCAGACACAGGAGGAGGAAGAAATTAGCCTGCCTTGTGTCTGTCCGTGGTCGGCCCATCGCGCGTGTAGTTTTCGCAAGGCGAAAGAGGCAAGCATCCCTTTCAGACGCAGGACGCGGTGCCTCCAAGTCATGCTATCTATAGCATGGGTACTGGCCGCTTGCTTATCGCAAATTCCGAAATGTTAAAGCCTACCAACCTTGAGTATACCGAGTTGACCTTTTGTCGGCATGCTACTGTCTGGCCAATAGCGTGCCATACCGATGCGTCTATTCGTGAAGCCAATACCGAATTGTCTTCGCACAAACCCATCCAGAAAGACTTATACTCGTATGATGTGTGCTCCAGATAATTCAAAGCATATGTGTTTGAACCAAAGAACAAAGTACTTAGTTGAAGTTGCGCTACTGTTTTTACGGTAAATGCTCCGCCAGTGAAAAAAAGCAATAACTTTTCGGCACTGTGTACATGCATGGAATGCACGCGCTACTGTATATCTCTGTATACTTTATCACAATAATAAAACTGCGATAACTAAGTTGCGTTATTATACCTGTACGCACAGTAGTCTTATCATTTACCACTTTGCAGGCTCACTTCTCCTTTTATAATGGATGTAATCTTCTGCTTTTATTTTTGGACGGGTTTGTACTGTATGTAAAAGGATAATTATGATTCATGGCCGTATCCATCGCTTGAAATGCATGCTGCTTGAGCCATATCACGAAGGAAAAGCGGCGGCTATGGTTGCAAGAAACGCGGTACATTGTATTGGAACACGTTGGTCCAGCGTACTTGCAGCAGTTCTTGCTTATGCAGTGCACAAGTAGCAGCAACAGCAGCTACAGCATTACAAAGTACAAACAGTACGCAGAAGGGTCAACTCTTTTCTGTATTTTTTCTTGCCACAGATGTAATTAAGAGTTTACTTAAGTTATAATTGTGCCGGCTTGTTTTGCATTATCTCATGGTCAGTTAAATCACAATGTTTAATAATAATTTGCTGTTTACCAACAACTAACGGCAACAGTATGTGACCACTTCCGTATTGCTTGTACTACTTAAAATTGCTGTTGATTGGTATTTACGCATTAAAGCATTTCGTACGTCGCTGCAAGATTCCGGCGGAAATTACGGCACGAGAAATTATGAGACACTACGAGTTTTATTGCAGTCCAGCACAGCGTCAGGATTAAAAAGCTATATCACAGCTCGCGGCACATATTATCAATTCCCTTGCCAGCCAATAATCAAAGAATTAAATCATTACAATAAAAAAACAGCGGATACAAAAGGACAACAAAACTGTACACTGATAATTCCGGTCAGCGCCACTGCGACGCCGCGTATCCCGGGTACAGCGTGGACGACGCACACGTGGCGTACACGGGCTTGGACAGGGTCTCCAGGCCACTGCTGCCGGGCGGCATGGGCACGGAGAAGTAGTTGTTGGACGCCGCACTGCACAGGGATTCCAAGATGCGCGCCAACTCTAGGTTATTGCAGTCCAGCAAGTGACCGCTCAGATTCTCCTCTAACTTCTCGCAAATCTGATGAATAACAGCACCGGTCAATTGGTTAATAGAGGACGCTAATAAAGGTCATGAACGTACCTCAATTTGGTATTTGACGGCGTAGGAAAACAGCTCCTTCAGGGCGTTTGTCACATTCATATGGAAAGCGTATTTCTGCAAAAGAATTGACAAAATTATTTTAATAAAAAAAAACAGAAAATTAAAAACAAATCGACTGTAATAAAAAAAATTATTCGCTTTAAAAATTAAAAACGTACTATTTTTTAGTATATTTTCACTCCTAGCCACTACACTTATACTCGCGATATTGAATAGCGATACCAAAATACAAGTAACAAATTAATTTGAATATCATTTAATTAAACATGTAAATAAATAATCATAATTTATAAATAAATAAACCATGTTAATAAATGATTTAATTACAGATTTTGTAACTATTGACTTTACCTTTGAGAGTGATCGCATATATTCCATCAGTTCCGGTTCGGCGACTGCCGGCAATCCCTGGATCTGTTCGTAATAACCACGGATCATCTGCCGGTAAATCGGCATGTCCTTGGCAAAGAGCAGTTTACTGCAGGGCGAATCCTTATCGAGCCGGCCGTTCTCATTCCAGTTGCAGCTCTCCATCAGACACTGCGCAATCACCGCCAGACTGCTCTCCACACTCGGACTCTTCTGCATGTCCAACAGCATTTCAGGAGTCTTGATCAAGTTGGACCAGAAGCGCAACGGCAAACTACAAATTGACCAAAATAAAACTTTATTGGTCAGCTCATTTGGATGTTTTATATAATAATTTTAGTAAACTAAGGTCAACGAATAAACAGTCAAATAAAAAGCCAAAATAATTCGAATTTTTCTAATAAAATACAATTATTACCGGCACATTTTTGGGTCATTCCGATCAAATAATAAAACAATTTAATTCAGTTCAACTGCAATTTTTTCAGATTTCAAAGCATTTTATTTTTCTAGATTTTATTTATGGAAATTTCCGTGTGTACCTGTTGCTCTTCCAGGCATGCACCGTCTGCGCATCCACCAACCCGGTCTGCTGCTGGAACCGATCGAACAAATCAAACAACCACTTGACCGCCACCGGCACCCGCCCGTCATCCCCCCGAAACAGTCCCTCCATCAGATCATCCACATACTTCCCCAGCGTGCCCTTCGTGGAAATCAACCGCGTCAGATAAATCTCCCGAATCTCCTTCCCTCCCCACCCCGCAACGTCCCCCCGCGTCCCAAATGCCACACCTTCCCCGAATGATATTCCCGCACCGCCGACGACACACTGTACGGACTGATCTCGCAGTGATCCGCATTCTGCCGGTACCCGGCGTCCTGGGCGCGCAGCACTAAGGTCATCACCGCCGACTCCACAATTCCGTAGTGCGCGAGGGTATTGATCCGTCGCCAACCGCCCGCGGCGACGGTGGACGTGGCGTCTTCGTCCTGGAGGATCAGCCGCCCCCGGGTACTGTTGTGCCACTCTAGATCGATTTCGTATAACGACGGCCGTGTCGAACTGGGCGTTGTGCTTTTGTACAGTGCGTCTAGTAGTTTCGCTTTGACTTGGGAGATGCTGTCGCAGTCCAGCACCCGACATTGCACTTTTTCGTCTAATTCGTCCTGGTGGAGGTCGATGAGGACCGAGTGGAAGTCGACTTTGTCGCGCAGGAGGTGGTCTTCCGACAGAGAGTAGCGGGCTTGGTGGGTCAGGCAGTCCACCGGGCCTTTTTCGACCTGGGTTTTGACGGCTTGGATGAGGAGGAAGAAGGTCGGGCCGATGTGGTCCTGGAGGGTCTCCAGCATGCTGATGCCGATCCAGTTGGACAGCATTTTTTCTACCACGGATTCGGAGCGGCGCAGCATCAGCTGGGGGTGCTTGGCGAGGGCCGAGCGGTGCATTAGATCGATCATCAAGCGTTGAAAAACCCTATTTCAAAAGGTCAAGTTATTATAATTTTTGATAGATTTTTTTAAATTTACTTGAAAATATTTTTCATCGTTTTTTGTTATATTCCACGGATGTTTTTTATTTTTTCTCACTAATATATTTTACGAGTGTTTCTACTTTTTACTAACTTTTTTTTAAAAATCGAAATGGGCCATCTATAAAAATGTTTTGTTTTGTACGCATTTAAATGTTATTTATTCAGTTATGTAATTATAGGTACTTTTAATTACGTTTTTTAGTTCTGCAGCTTTTTATATAAATTTTGCTTTAACTCGGTAATCACCAAATTTAGTTAGCGTTTTTGAACTATATTTATTTTAATTTTATTAGATCGCTTATATCATTTTCTTACGTATTTTACGAATTTTTTAAAGAGTCTTTCATATTTATTTTGACTTACTGTGTGAAGTAGTCGAGTTTGTCCATGAAGACCAGCGTCAAGAGCGACGCGACATTGGCGCGATCGCGGATGCCGAACGTCCTCTGTGATTCCAGTGCCCCGATGAAGGAGACGAGAAAGACGTCTTTGCAGAGCAGTTGCTCGAACTGCTGCATGGCCGTCTCGAATCCGGTGCAGCGGTTGTTGCGGCAGGGACGGATGTCTTGCAGGACCGGGTGCGAGCGGTCCGGGTTGAGGCACAGCGGGAAGAAGATGCGCATCAAGTACGTCCCGTGGTCCACGTACGGGATGCCGGCCATGTGCACTTCGCTCGCCAGATCCGAGATGTCGGTTTGCAGCTCCGCAAAAGCTGTACGCAGAAAGGCGATTTCATTAGCATTATCTCATATAATGTTTGATAAATTGATTTTTTTCGATTTGGTTCATGGTTGTAGCAAGTATTTGATACGTACAAATACAATGTACATGCAGTGGCTTTACAATTAGATTTAGCAAGTAATACAATTGTTTACTTGATTTTAATTAATTTTTTATTAGTGAGTCATCAGATCTTCCTGTTAATCCGGAATATTTAATTGATTTAATTGTAGTAACATGAATACCGGAAATTCACTTGCCGTCTACAGTAAGTAGGTAAAACTCCGGTTACATTTAAAACGTATCCAATTTTAAAGATTTACTAGATTTAATCGTAATTCGGTTAAATTTATTTCACACGCTTTAAATTTATTAAATTCAGCAACATAATTTTTAAAATTTTATTCAATTAAATAATACCGAATTTAATTAACTGACCTTGTTTGCACTCGAGTCGGACGTTGCTCTCGAGGGTATCCAGATGCAGCTGGATTCTTTTATACTCCCGCTCCGCCCGGCTACTCTTCCGGCACATAAACCACAACACTGCGGCGGTAATCAGCAGGCACCCGACCAGGCCCACCGACACGCCGGTCACCACATCCGTCCCCACGACAATCTCCGCCCGCGGTCCCTCTCCACCGCCACTGCCGCCGACACCCACCCCGGGATACTCCAAGTACCCCGCCGGGAACTCCAGCTCGCCCATGTGTAGCTCCACGGGATAGTGCCCGCGCGCGACTGCCGGTGGCGGTTGGCAGACGATGCGGTTGGGCGTGATGCTGGTGATGTTGCAAAGGTCATCGCCCACGGTGACGTACACTTCCGTCAATGTTAATCCGCTGTCTAAGCGTTCGCCCTCGATCACTAGGACCTCGCCGTGGAAGGGCCGGATGTGGTCGACTTCCTCGAAGGAATACACCACTGGGTCCTGAACGAAAGGCGAATATCAGTCTTTAAAATACAGTTATATATGGATATTAATTTAATCCTCCTAATGTTTTATCACTTTATTTCAAATCGATTTTTCAGTTTTATTGATCTTAGCATTAGGGAACATTTATGATTATTTTTCGCTTTATTTTACAAAAAGTTTGTTTGGTTTTGCTATTTCTCATGTTTAGCAATCGGTGGTTTTGCTTTTATTTGCTGAAATTTTAAATCGATATTTTTGAATATTTTCTGTAATTATTCTTTTATTTGAATAGATTGTATATTTATTTTTTATATCGAAAACGTCGAGGACTGTTTGCATATTAACCGTACCTGGAGGTAAACGATACGGCGCAATTGCGGATCCGTCCAGCCATCCATCTCCATCCTCACCGCGAATTCCGCGCTGTTATTGATATTCTGGTCGTTAACAAACGGGGCGCGACAAGATACAGAAGCGTCGATGACCCGGCACTGCGAGGAATTCATCACCGTCTTCCCGTCCGCACTCAAGACAGTCATCCGGGCGGTCTGCACCGCCTGGAGATTCTCTCCCATCACGTCGATGATATTCCCACCCGAGGCGAACGTCGTGGCCGGGATGAATTTTGTAACCACCGGATCCTCCGTAAACATAAATTCCGTGTTAAGCATCCTGTTTCCGCCGTCGATGGACAAGACTACTCCCGGTTTCCCACTTCCGGTGGCGGACGCGGTCGTGAAACAGGATAACTGGTGCGCGGTGATGGAATCCGGGATGACGCGGCATTCCCGTCCCAGGATCACGACGGAGACGTTACTCCCGATATCCAGATGGTTCCCGAAGAGCGTCACCCGGGTCCCTCCCGCCCGGATGCCCTGCCGGGGATGGATGCGGGAGAGGGTGGTGTTGAGGAAGTAGAAGCGCTGGAAGGAGGACTGCGGGGCGCGGCCCCCCAGGGTGATGGTTACCGGGCCAGCGCGGTAGGGTTGGGTGGTGAAGGGGTCCAGCCGGCAGACAACCCTAGTAAGGTAAAGGTCATGATGGGAGAATAAGAAGGAAAGAGTGGTTACGTACTTCCGGGAGACTTGGTATTCCACCGGATAACATGGGACGCCGGCGACGCTGATGGCATCGGTCAGGTCGTCCATTTTCAGACCGAGTTCACGGCCCATGATCGTCAGGAGTGTGCCTCCATCGACCAGACCACTGACCGGCGAAATCTAAACCAGAGATAGTTTCTTACAAATTAAAATCGTTTATTAACAGTTCATCAGTATTATTTTTTGGTTTTTATTAAGAATCAATTTATTCTTTTATAAAAATAATTTGTATGCATCAAATCATTTTCTTAAGTAATCATATTTAAAATTTATTATATTATTTCAACCAGTTTGATATTACTTTTGGGAAAACTTTTCTTGTATTGAAATTGTTATGAATTGAATCAGCAGATTAACTATGTTTTTTTTGTAATTTATAGATATACTTTTTTGAGTAATTTAATTTTTTAGAATTAAATTTAAAATTTTCTTTTTATAATTTTGAAGTACCGAATCAATAGTGGGTGCTGGGCAGTTATTAGCCCCCTTCAGTTTCTGCTCGTCTTGGACGAATTGGCATTCATCGTTCAGCCAGACACACTGGAACTCCGCCGGCAGACTGCGACACGTGCTGCAGTCCGGTCCCTTCAACCGGCACTTGTACAGCGTGACGTTGATGGTGTCGACGTAATGGTTCCAGTTCCACACCACCGATAACGCGCCGGGCTTCTCCTCGGTTTCTGATTGATAGAAATAGGCCGTCTCCTGGCAGAGCAGGGAGCTGGGTTCCTGGAGCGTGGCCGGTACCCGGGTCACGCGGTTCTCCGTCTCCATCAGACACTCAAACACGGCGTCCTGTGGGAGAATAAATTGCCGAATAAATAACCAATCAAAACATTTATAAAGTAAATTTAATGAAGAATAGGATTGCAGAGTTTTCCTCCATAAAAAAAATGTACGAGTAGACCGGAAGTTACCTTTTGCGGGGACAGTTGACTGACGGTTAGTACGATGGCTTTAGCGGCCATATTCGGCAGGAGCAGCGATGAGCGACCCAACTGTGGGGCACTGAATTCCTTTACGTCGGTGGTGGATAAGTGCGGACACTGGTCCGCCACCGCGAGCAACGCCGATTCACCATTCTGAAAAATATGCGGTTTATAACGTTAACCTGATTAATACGAAATAAATATCCCCTTAATTTGCGTAATATACTTCTATCGTTATTACGTATTATTTTTTCATTATCAAAGCATAAAGACGGGGTTGGGTGTTTTTCGTACCGAAGACTGACGACAGGTTTGTTGTGATTCGGGATTATTGTCGACGCAGGTATGACTATGACTGCACCATGTACAGTTCCACTGGCTTGAGACGCAGGAATGGCATCTACAAAAACAACGTAATACAACCCTTCTTCTCTTGGAATTCGTTTATTTTCTATTAATTTGATTAAATTAATTACTTAATAATCATTTAAGCAACTATTTAATTTAGTAATTATAGTCTATCGTAGTACCGTTGATGGAAAGCGCAGTTGTAGACGGTCAGCGAGCGCTGGATGAAATCCTTATTGGTCTCCTGCGAGCGCACATTCACCGACACCGCCACGTGATCTGCTTCCGGCTCTTTCCATCCCTCCGCTAACGTCCGCGGATCCAACATGCACGCTAGACCGTTGCGCGTCACATTGGCCGGGACCACCGCCACCGTGGGGGCCGCCGCGTCCGACTGGATGCCGAAGACGCAGCTGTAGGGAGAGTGACCTTTATCCGTGGCAGCCACTGGCAGTTCTTTGATGTGCAGTTCAATCTGTTGCAATGAATTGGTGATTATATTTGCAATTCCCAGTTGGCCAGATGGGATTTGTGTTACCTTGGTCTGTGACCTTTGAACGGAAATCCGATCCGGGATGACGGAGGTAAAATCAATGCACTGCTGTGAGTTGAAGGGCAGCCATTTGGCCGCGCCGTGTTTGCTGGAGCGAGAGGATTGCGAACATGCCTGGCGCGTTGTACAACTGCGAAAATAATAATTTGTAATAATATTATATTAAAAACAAAATAATAAACATATTTATTAAATAATCAAATGATATGATTTTGCATGAATATTTATTTTCGTAAAATTAAATGACATGTTGTCAAAAACATTCTTCAGTAGTACACCGAGAAATTGGTCTAATTTCGACAAAATCTGGAGCGACTGTTGCTGGTGATGGTATCGTGCAGACCCTAACAACAAATGTTAAAAAATTAATAGAAATAAAGAACACAAGTTTTGTGGAATTTAGTTCTTGTAAATATGTCAACGATCTTTTTTTAACATGTATAAAGGATGATTTTGAAAAGTTGTAACCCGATCTGGATTTTTTCAACAAAATTCGATTATGTATTAAGCCGTTTTACGTTTCCCGTTAAAGCGCCTGAATGGAAGAAAATCGATTAGTTATGTAAAGAATTTTGCCACTGTAAAGAAGTGCACGAATGTGGGCAGGTAAACACCGGCGATCGCGTTACACTCAGCGCCGGCGTAATCGGATAATCGCGCCCATTGTGAACGGGATCGATCATCCGGTGTGCAGCCCCGGTTAGCGCTTCCGCTCCGGCACACCCGCACAAAAAACCGCAAACTGGGTTAGACACACAGCCCGAACGCAGATGGCTTCAGTTGTGATAAAACCGGCAACAAACAGCGGCTTGATTGCTCTAACCAACGCCTTCTTACCGCTTCTCCAACGAACACCAACCGCAGAATGGATCGCGTGATTGCAGGCACTGCCGGCAGTCCGAGTGCACCGAACACGAGTCCATCTCCATCAGCACTACCTATTCATCCACGAAAAAACGTAAAATTTCCCATTCGTATGTTAGCGCATCGCGCTTAAATGTTGTATTCCAGGAAAAGCAAAATGCCAGCTTTTATCAAAATATTTACGCGATAATGAACATGATAAATTACTGGGCAATGTTCCATTAAAAAATTAAATAAAATTGGAAAAATAAATTCTCAGTTCAATAATACCGTAAAATCATAATTTAATTCAAAAGCCTACATAAATAAATAAGCTACAATGGATTTTATGTAAAGCATGCATAGTATTCAAATACACATTTAGTTCATTTAATTAATAACAAACGAAATCATTAATAAGTTTTCAGAAATGTTCCTGAAGTTGAGAAAAGTATTTGACAGTCAATGTTAATTATGTAGTAAAGGGAGAAGAATTCTGAAAAGTGTGGAAGCCGGTAAAGGTCACATAAAGTTACACCCCGTTAAAAATACTTCGTTTAATTTAGATTTATTTTTACCTCAGATTCAGTGAGGACGTAGATTTTCCGTTGTTTATTATCGATGTGCAGCTCTTTGACCTGGCCGACACTGGAGTGCGGCTGATTGAGATCGACATGCCCGTACTCCAATCCGACGTGGGCGCTTTTCAGGAGGATCTTCCGCACTATTCCCTTGCGTGTCCCGACGACAATCACCACGTGTTCGCGCACAGCGACGTCGTCATTGGCCGGCGCCACCGTGGCACTGACGGCGCTGATGGAGTCATCGGCAAAGGTCACCAGCGCCTCCGCGTTGGCTGGGATGTTGCCTTCGATCATCAGGTGCTCGTTGCAGAAATCCGTCACAACACGCGGATCCTAAACGATCAAAATCAGCTGTTAACCACGAAAGAAAAGGAAAAATACCACAAACATCAGTAGGCAATTTTTATTATCATTTATTACTTCGTCAGATTTATTTGTTGTTTATCTGTATTTTCCGGATTTTTCCTTATAATTATTAATATTGTATTTATTAATCGTGTTTTACAAATAATAATTTTACCTAAATCAAATTAAGAATTTGCTTAGCACTTTATAATTATTTTCTTATGCATTTGTTCATATTTACAGTACTAATTTTACTGGCGCAGCAGTTTTAAGAGAAACAGCAAAAATCATAACAATTATCGAAAAAATAATTATTAGGATGAACGTATTTCTAAATTATTTATTTTGGAGCGATACGTACTTTGGGGCAGGGCAAACTGGCACCGGCAATGAATCCCAATCCGCGACTGTGCCGACTGCCGCTGAAACACTGTCGCGCGTTGCGCTCGAACATTTCGTGGAGATCGTCGATGGGAAAGAGACACACGGCGGACGAGGCCGGCTTGGATGCCGATGAGCGCCATTCAGCGGCGGAAAAGGCGGCCACAAGGACCTGGGAAGACGCACATGTTTGCTTTTGTTCACGCAGCACAAGTAGCCAGCGGATAAACAGTCAACACTCGCGTCATGCATGGTTGATGGAGTAAACTCAAATAATTACGCATGCTGACCCCATTCAAAGGTGACGCAACAATAACGCTACAAATAGATCGCATTTCTCACTATGAATTTCGTGCAAAATAAATTAGGCGTTGACTAAGTGCGCACAATAAAAATTACACTGTATACGAAATTTCCCGAAGAAATAAATATTAAAAAATTCAAATAAATAAGGACAAAATCACCACCGAAACGGAGTAAAAACGATATTGGATTAGATTTGTTTACTTATAAAGTTCGTCCTTATAAAGCGTTTACCATATTTTATAAATGATTTTGTTCTACTTTTTTATCCGAAGAATATGTATTTTTCAATTTATTTTTATTTGTTAAGTTTCATTTTAATGAATGCATTCAGAAATATTTAATTTCAGTTTTTTTCAAAAAGATCTAATTTATCAGTGAGATTGTGTGTACCTGCAAGTTATAAGAAAAATTTCTTTTATGGTGAAAGGAGAAGAAATCATGTCAAATCCATTAATACATTAAAAATTCAAAAGAAAATCTTTCTAAAAATCGGTCAAATCGATATAAACGCTATACATCTTTCCATGCACGCCAGCAAGCCAAAATGTTTCCTTTGCAAAGATACACAGAAACCGGAGCACTTCCTTCAGTGACAGTCAGTCAGTCAATAAAACCAGCGCAAACAAATACAGTTCCTTTTGGGATTTTTTGCCAAACCAGCACAAGTCAACACGCCGCCTGACTCACCTTGCCGACTAAGGAGCCGGTGGGCGGTTGTAAGAGATGAACGCTCTGCAGAAGGTTGTACTTGTTGCCCTTGGCCTGGCAGCTCAGCGTGATCTCCATGTACGACTCGAAGGACGGGTCGGAGGCGCACACCCGCCCGATCTTGCTGACGTAGCCCTCGTCGGGGTTGCCGGCCGAGGCCGGCTGGATCATGGCGAAGTAGGCGTAACCCTCGTCGTAAAAACCTTTGAGAAAAGTAGATATTTAAAGCACTAAACGCGAGAGAATTATCTTAACTTAGCCGGTAAAGGTCAAGTTGTGTCCGTACCGGAAATGTATTTGACTTGGAAGGTCTCCAGAAACTGGCTGGCGATTTTCAGGCGGGCTTGCACAAACCGGCGAGCGCGGATAATTTCGAAGGTTTTTAAATTTCGGCTGAAAATTAATCAGGACATTAATACTGGTTATTAAAAATTATTTACTGGAAAAATCGACAAAATTTTTGCTAAGAAAATGAAAGCCAGTACCGCTTTCGATTACCATTTTTCAAAGCTGATGCTGGCCAATAATAACGAAATTACAAAAAGGAGCGCGCTTTTTAATAGCATAATATTTTATCTTAAATACAGTATGTTATTCGCTTTACCAGTTTTAAATTTCTTGGTCGATATTAAAGCAACAATACAATAATATAAAAATACTACGCTTTTTGATTACGCTTTAATTTACACTGGCACAGGAAATCAAATCAACTAAAAATGGTGAAAATTACTGCTGAGCGCTGATTGAAAATTAATAACACAAAGCCATTTGTACCTGCTAAGAACCGGTATCTCTTCCTGGCTGCGATACGGTCCCCGCTGCGTATGCGGCGCCGCGACATACAACACCCGGTGACTGCGGGCATCCGGCAGCCCCGGCCCCACAAACGCCACACTGCCGCCGCCCGCCACTCCCTCATTATCCACCACCGGCACCGGCAACCGTTCCAACTTCCTCCCGATATCCTCCACCGGATACCGCTCACAAATCCCTTGAAACAGATTCCCACAGGCCAACACCGTCCGCTCGCTCCCGGCGCCTTCCACGAGGAGAATTTTATTGACATTATCCGTCGGGGTCTTCAGGGCGCCGTGCTGGCACGATCCTCGGGCGGAACACAAGAGACTGTCATCCTGCGGACCCGTAACGACTGATTGTATAATGGATAAACTTGGATTTAATTTGTATAAACAGTTTGTCCCGGCGATGTAGATATTGGCGACGTTTCCGGTGGATTCGTCGGCGTCCAGGACGAGATGGGAGAGGGTGAGGGACGTGGCGTTCTGACCCCGGCATCCCTCCAGCCGGACGCGTTGGAGGGTCCCCCACGCCGGGTGGAGAAAACATCCCAGGATTATTAAATAAATCCCGGGACTTTCGGAATATTTTCTGTATAAATCGGATTTTTTCGGCATTTTTTTCCTCTCTTTAACCGACAGAGTTGTCGACTGCGGAATTAATTGCTAAGGAATGGCACTTTTAATGCGGCAAGGCCATCCGCCATACTTGAGACACTTGATTGCGTTCATCAACATCTGCAAAATCCAATGGCAAGTGTCAGTTTTTTCCTTGTCTTTTATTTATTCTGATGATGCACAACAGTATATATTGAAGGAAATTCGGTTAGCATTGATAAGGGCATCGGATGGGTTTAATTAAACGCGGGACGCGGCATTGCCGGCATGCATCACACAGGGGAGGAAGTGCAACAGATGCCGCTAAATCGTGGTAATTGTTTGTGGCTTGTGTCAATAGACACAAGCCGGCAAGTGTCTATGATGTAATACACAGGCCATTGTCAACATGCAATCGTTTTACGCCGGCCACCATGGAGTGCACTTCAATGGCCAATATTTTACAAACAATTTTCAAATCATACAAATCGAATTTTCATATGGATGGTTGACAATACCGTCCTTGTTGCACGGTTATAACGGTACAAAAATGACAAATTGCCCAAGAATTTGAAGAAATATTTTCTTTCCCAGAGTAAAACTACTGGAAACGAGTTCTAAGGTATGCACACAAAAACTGTAAAATTAGATAAAGTACAAGTACTGTACACTAGGAATCTAGGATTCAGGAAGTGCACAAGTTAATCACGACGCAAAACGTGATTTTTAAAAATAGTACATAATAAGTACTACTCGTATAAGATTAAGATACTTACTTTTTTAAAAACAATTACTGACGCGCTAAAATTAAATTTTGAATCTGCCGAGTATCGACTGCTGGATTAAGAAAATTTAGTTCGACTTCAACATAAATATTGTCTACAGTACAATGATTAAATGTCCAGCACAAGTAAGTACTTTGTACTAATAATTATTGTAAGCTCTTAAAATAATTCTCACGATAATCCGTTGATGACATAAAGTTTAACTGTATATACCGTTTAACTGTATATACCGACCTTATCCGTTAATAAATTCCAGACGTGTAATTTCCCTGAGAGCGCCGCTGATAAAACACGCATAAAATTCCCCCATAAAACTCTCAACCCGGCCATCTGTTCCGAAGGGTCAGCTAAAGCAGGCAGCGTTCAGCGTTCTCCGTATTCCCCACAACGCCCAAATTAACCGGCATGTTCAGCCCCAGTAATGGCCTACGCTAACCGATAATCAAAATCGATGGATATGCATTTAAACCAAGAGCGTATTTATCATATTATACTGCACAACCCGCATCCACACAGGCTAACAAATTATCCTAACGCGCCACTCTGACACGCAGGGACGTTAATTAAACAACACGCCAACCGGGCATTTACCAGCGCGCGCAATACCAACTAATGCCGGAATAATGGCTATTCCATCGTTTGGCATATTACATTTCGCTGCCTAATATCTTCATCACATCATCTCGTCAATATATACACATATATATACAGCCCACCCCCGCTGCCGGGAAACAGGACGATGACACGTTGATTATAACAATGACAATCCTGGAGTATAGCAGATATCGCTGTCAGAAGATGTTTCATTTAACCAGCTTAGATATGCATGTGTAATGCTGTTGGGAGGCTGGTTGGTGGATGTGCGGATCATATTATCCATCCACACATCATCTGACATGCGATACATCCATATAGCAAACTGATAAATCTCTCCCTCCTCCGGAGTTGCTGCCACACATACCGATCGATGAAAATCGTCAAACGAAGAAAATCCGGGACAGAGTTAAAACGAGAGAAAATTGTCAAGAAATCAGTTATGGAGAATATTGCAAAAAGCCAGGCGATGTGCGAAACATGTGTTGGCCACGTCCAAACCAATTTTGGATGAAAATTTACAGTCGGACGCGTGATTTATGGCATAAAAATAAAGCAGAAAAATTCAAAACAGTTTGCACTTTCGTCAAATAATAAAGGACAATTATATAAAATAAAATATAATAAAAATTGTTACAGGAATATAATAAAAACGTTTTAAGAATACGCATTAGTTGGAATTGCAGTATTATAATAGTTTAAGAAAATACAGTACTAATGAGAGTACGAGTAATTAACGTGCGCATTATTGTTGCGCTACAATTGCTATTATTTATAGTTATTATCGTTAGCAAGTTTAATTAGCAATTTTTAGCGCATCACTGCATTCAGCATTGTTTATACAAGTCTCGGAGGATTTATTGCAATTATCCCGGTTATGTATTTTATCGATACTGATCTCTCATTTATCTACATAACTGCTCGCAGCCGGCCGAAGCCATAAAGGCAAAACACGACAAAGCCATGCGCTAATAAAATATGCAATTCTCACAGCCGCTCGGTCTGTAGTTTGTACCCGGCACGAGATGGATCAAGCAGTCCGCAGTGGTCGGGGCGTGTGTATATATTTATCCCATCTAATCCCCCAACCCCCATTGTCCACTAGCTAGCCTTCCCCAATTTTTCTCCATTTGTTCCGTGAGTTAAATTGTCATGTGTGTGCGTGCTGGAACATATGGCCGCGTAAAAGGGAGAAATCAGATATAACTAAACGATCGCAGCAGGTCATTAATTTGCTGCCAATCGATGCTGGAGCCTGTGCTAGCATGTGGTGGCTGGTAGTGGTCGCGGCTGCATATTTTTCTCATTTTCTCCGCTGTCTCGATCTACGTCGAGGGTAGATTAGAAAAACATGGCCGGTGCGGATGGAGACGGGGACTGGAGTGTTTACCGCTACCTGCCGGAGATGACCTGGGTGGCCTTTCCGGTCTGAGAAGGACCGGCTGGCAGGATGGAGGGGGAAAATCGATTAGCGGGAGAAGTGTACTAGAATACTGGATGGGAAGCTGATGGGGAGATTTTCATTTGCTCCACTGATCTGTGCCGGTGTCCATTTTCGTATTGATTACCCAATCACGCTGATTATTATTATCACGTTATTATATGTGCTATGTCATCCAAGAATATTTTCGTCAACATCTGCTGTTTTTCGTTTGTGCAGAGGAAAATAATTTATTTTATAATTTCCGGTTTTAATGGCAGCCGGCATTTCAGGACTGTAAACAATTTTTCTGCAAACCCTTTTTGTTAATAATTATTAAGCCTAAATTCCCCGTTGTTAACCAGTTTACCATTAATTTAAGTAATACAGTAAAAATATCAAATCTATTTTGAAAAACCAGTTTCAAAAATTCCTAAATAAAATGGATTTAAAAGCTGGTTTTGTAATGCTTTATGGAACAGATTAGCATTTAGTATATTAATTTCATTTATTTTGCTCGCATTAATGAAAAATAATAAAAATTTAAATAAAATTCGTAAATGTCAGCTTAATGAACTGAAAAGCAGGCTTTGTACTTGTACTGTTTGCGAGCAAGACAAGTATCTGTCGATTGTGCGTATAAAGTGCGAAGTAGATTAGTTTCCAACCCGAGCAACTGCAGCTGTAATTGTATATGTAAAAGGCAAACATGTTGACTAACAAACGATTGAAGCAATTATGTGTCAAATGTGGCATATCGGGTTGTGGGATTGCCTTGGCTGGATGGGTCAGCGGGCTGTATTTGCGGCTGCAGCAACACGCTTTGTTCATGTATGACAAACGGGATTAATCGGCACTGCAGCTGCAAAGGCCAGTGGATATTGGCCATTTCCGTGCGGAGACTGACTCAGTTTCCGTTGCCGCGCGGACTGCTCAGTGAATGTCGGAACGGGAGGAAGGATATGGCCGACGGATGCCCCAGCGATCCCCAAGCTGATACTTTATGCAGTCATGTCGCTGACCTTACAGCTCGCGCTCTACTGCATTTGGGAAGCAACGAGTAAACATTACATTTCCTGCATTTGGGGAATATAATGTCCAGTGTTATTCCACTGGGCGACCGCAGCGATAATGTAGTGGAAGTAAAAGCTGACGGTTTTAAACTTCTTAAGAGACTCGAGGAAATCATTTGATCCCCGCTTTAATGGGCTTACTCACTGCATTTTAAAACTAACCCGGCCTCCGATTAATTTTATTTCAGATTCGCAGAAAATATCAAAACTGCCCTGCAAATTTAAAATTTTCTAGCAAGATTCAGCGGTCGAAACTGCAGGCTGACTTTTTCGTTTTTTTAATTTTTTCAAAGTTAAATTTAAATCTGAGAAAAAATATCAGAACTCTCCAGAAATAATTTTGGCGAGATTCAGCGGTAGAAATTCCAGACTGGCTTTCCATTTCTTACTACGAAATTTATTTTTCTATTTTCAGGCTATTTCCTCCCCTAACTACATGCGTGCCGAATTAAGTCCTCGATTTTCTAATAAGCAAAACGCCATTGTTCGAACTTCCTTTCAAGCATTTAATTCTCGCTCTAAATGTACCGAATAGGGCCTATTATTTCCATCGCAGACGTTAAGCGGAAGTATTTCTCTCCCAGCAATTTAAATCAAAACAGTTGCAATTGTAACACACAGACTCGGTGTTCAGTGTATTGGCAGTGAGTCAGACAAAACCCAATCAGAGGTCAATTCACTTAAAACGAGCGCTGCTTATTAAACGCGCTAACCACACATTATCAACAAAAGCCTCGGTGCGGTTTAAGAAGCACTGACCACTTATTCATCTGGCTCACAATAAATAATACCCTTAAAGACTCCCTTTGAGGCCAGCCAGGTGAAACGGTAGAATGTTGTGGCTTCGTTATTAGCACGGATGGTTGGCTATTGAGTAAACTATAGATCCCGGCAAGAATGTTTAATAACAGCACTTGAAGGCAGTACTGGTCAAGACTGGACTAGGACTCACTTAGGTGATCTGTCAGCGCCTGCGCCGATTCATATCGCTGAACTTGAATGACCACTGCACGAAGTATGCCGGGTCCACACCCCGGTCTAGGGGTGCATATGAGGATAGAGGAAAATATGGCCGGTTTTCTCAAGCATGTGTGTACTGTGTGCCAGCCCGTAAATCGTGTCCTAAAGTGCCTCATCAGGGCTGCCTGTTTGTCGACACTGTGTAAGCAGCAGACAGCGGCTAAATTGTTGTAATAACCCAGGAAAACTATGCTAACGATGGAATCATTAGACCTGCCTGATTTGCAATTGTGTCCAAAGTGGGGGCCTCATCGCGATGCGCGACGCTCACAGATGCTAATCAACAATGCCATTTTACGAGCTGACGAAAAAGCTGCTTTACCCTGCTGGCTTTTGTCACGTCGACAAGAATTCACCACCCACCCAATATGTCTTCCATGCGTTGTTCCTTCATTGGCATTTTTATGTGTCTAATTAGAAATTCTGGAAAAAATTTGCGAACTTCAAGGGGCAAATTAAAAAGGGCATAAAATTACGCCCTGATAAAATTATTAGAAATTCAGCACAAAATTGTACACTCCAGTGACATATTAAAGATGACAAAGAAATTATACCGATGATAAAATAATTATATATAAATAAATTCCGCAAAATAATAGCGAATTTTTGTGACCAATACAAACTTGCAGAAAAAGTACGCGCTGATAAATTATTTACAAATTCTGCTGAATATCAGCGGTCTTTACTGGAAAATAAACATACAGAAAATTACGCGCTCATAAAGTGATCGATCGGTGAACAGAAATTCTCCAGGATATCAGCGACCTTTATTGAAAAATACAAAATGCAGAAAAGTTACGCGTTGATAACCTAATCGATCGATGAAGACGGCAGCTATTTTTTTGCGAAAACGCCGCGCTTGACTTGATCGCGGCGCTACTGTCTTGCTACGCTGACATCCAATTTGTTTTGCATTAATTTGATTGGGCCGGCCAAACACTCGGACCGGGGCAAAAAAGTCAGATGGAATGAAATTTTCCAAGCGCAAAATCTCTGATACTCATATCATTACTGTCAAGTACAGTACACTACTACTAACTCAATTCCATTCGATTAGACACTCAATGCGCACACGCATCAATCGATATTTCGCGCATAAAAAACCAGCGTAATTTTTATCCCCGCTCTTTCGTCGTCGACTGACATTGCCCGCAGGGACATTGTCAATGAGTTAAGTAGGCAAGCATCGCTGCGTTTGATAAGAGAACAGTTGCTCCTGAAAAAGCACCGCGAATCGGGTGCGATAAGTAAGTATCACGCTGGCCTGTGTGACCGGCACAGTTTAAGGGATTTTCATCCCACTCGGCCATTGTTCGCACACCATTAGACTGCCGCAGCCGAATCAGTCAAGCAGGCATCAAATTTACCCATGAAATGGCTCGTTTGCATTCTTCTCGGCCTAATGAAAGCATGATTACATTTCACCAATCAGCCACGTATCAATCAACACTAATTCCTCCCATCTGCAACCGCGATCATCATTTGGATTTTGGAATGCTCCAGATTCCAAAAATATTTTGCAAAATTTGATAGTTTATCTCTGTCTAAACAAATAACACGTGTTTCCTTAAGTTTTCTTAAAAATACTTACAGAATATTATTTCTACTTCGATATTTCCTGAGCTTTCC